GTTGCGCCAACCAACTTCGGCAGCGTACGAGCCTCCATTTTCCACAGCTGCTTTGTAGATATTATTCATGCTACAGTGGGGGCATGAGTCAAACAATTCAGTGAATAGAGAACAGGTTGATAGTAAACAGTTGAATGGGAGCAAGAACCTTTGACAATGCAACAAGTGTTGAAAGTGAAATTAGGCTGAAGCAATCGCAACTCATCCCCAGCAACATACAAGCCTTTGTCATCTGCAGCTATTCCAATCCACTTCATTGTCGTCTAAAATGAGATGATTGGTTGGTCTCAGGCTTGGACCCTTCCAAGAATGCTAATTCAAATGAGCTAATAAAGCCATTAAGCACCAATTAATTGGAAATGGAGCATGAGCTAAACCTTAAGCAGGGAAGATTTCTTCTCTTTTATTATTTCAAGGTTATTGTGTGAAGTATGCATTTTTATCATAGCATGTAACAAAATGGTACGGTAAGACAGTTCACTACGGGTCTTCTTTAGTACAACTTAAGATGAGGGAATGAGAATGAGCATCATCCCTTCATGGCTCTGAATTGTACAAAAGAAATGTTCAAAATTCTCAAATGTCATATATAGGCATCTAAGCTTTCCAGTAATGTATGCAGTCGTCCAATTGTGCAAAAGTCATATTTGTGCAGTGAAATTCTTAGTAACCAATAGAGAAAGGCAGGAGCTCAAGGTAACATAGCTGCTATCTCTAGTCTAGGTTATGTATGATGGTTGTTATTGAAATTACCAAGAGCGACAATAAAATTATTCACAATTCATGCTTCCATATACTTTGTCTATTGAATGGAGCAGATCCAATAGGTGCAAGCAACTAACATTCAAATGCCTAATTCTCACAAGGTGCATTAAATGTAGGGCACTGTCTCAAGAGTCATCTGCAGATAAGAAAAGAAGGGAATAAGTAATGCACATCCCTCCATTATGTGTTGAATAGTTTAGGGCAACTAATATTCAACTCCAAGGCACAGTCATGGCCGAGGGCCAAACTCATGACTGAGTATCATTTGCATGGTAGAAGACTGAACTTATGGCACAAGTTAAAGCCTCCAAGAGAAGAATTCTTTTGGGCCCCTCTTTTACAATCTCATTTGCATGAAACGATATTGTTACAGGTTATAAAATTGCAGGTGTTAAGAGGAATTTCTTAGTCACCTAACAAGATAAGACTTCTCACTATATTCTAATTTTTGACAATATGATCGTGATAAGATTCTCAATTATCAAATATTTTCTTCGAGGTCAATTTCCATTAAGCTTCATAGGCTTAATATAACAGGAAAGCAATGCTATTCATGGGACATGACACGCTCTGTTTGGTATATCAACTTAAATGGAAGGTATATACATGACATTGTATGAAACTATAATATGACTATTGCATACATTGACTTGCAAATAGTGAGAAAATTGACACGGCTGCTTTGCTTTTGCTTGTGGGAGTTGAAGCTCCCATATGAACATACCAGTTCTTTTTTTTTTTTGTTTCTCTTTTCATAGCTCTCAATGCATGTCGATATGTAGAACTTGATTCATTATCCGTTAACATCAGGAATGCAGGCCCCCATGCCTCACTTGAACTATATTTTTTACTCATTTGATATATGGATCTAGGTTCATTGCTTATTGATATATGGTAGAGAAGATACACTCTCATGCCTCACTTGAACACCAAAACAGTTGGTGATTATTTTACAACATGTATTTCATAACCTTGGGACAATGCTATTAAGATGTATATGTGAATATGCAGAGTTGAATTGCTCTTATATGCACAAGTACGCATAGTTCTCATGAAGGAACAAAACTTTTGCTTAACCAAGTTAAGTCTAACAAAAATTTGTTGAAGACATTTGTGCAATTAGGACATGGGATAGGAGAAGATTGAAAAGCCACTTATAGGGAGTGTACTCAAGACTTCTGAGCAAAAGAAAAACACTCTACATCAACTCCATCGGCGATGAAGTTGCTTGAGAGGAATGTTCGAATAGAAGAATTCAGCATGTGAATGTTTAAGGCGCAACAACTATGGGTGCTGCACCAACTTGCGTACGTGCTAAGGTCCAACTTTTTTCCACTATTACTATAATGATTGCTTATGAATGGTTTATCATGAACTGGTATCTATGAATTTGAGACCAATGATCAAAAATATAAAATTAAACTAACGCCTCAAAATTTAAGATCGAAAACCCAAGATTGAATGGGTTAAGACCGAATTAAAATCGATAACCCAAATGGGTTAAGATCGAATTAAAATCGATAACCCAAATGGGTTAAGACCGAACTAAGATCGAAAATCCAAAGATCGAAACCCCAAAGATCGAAAAACCCAAGATCGAATGGGTTAAGACCGAATAAGATCAATAACCCGAATGGGTTAAGATCGAATCAAGATCGATAACCCAAATGGGTTAAGACCGAATCAAGATAAAAACCCCAAGATCAAATGGGTTAAGACCGAACTAAGATCGAAAACCCAAAGATCAAAAAACCCAAGATCGAATAGGTTAAGACCGAACTAAGATCGAAAACCCAAGGTCGATTGGGTTGAGACCGAATTAAGATCGAAAACCCAAGATCAAATGGGTTAAGACCGAATTGAATTTGAAACTTAAGACCGAATGGGGTCAAAAGGATCATGATCGAACACAAATTTAGGCAATAAACACAAAGATTGTAAAACGGCCGAATGCCCAAGACCGAGGGTCAAAGACCCTAGACCGAATTATGGCCAAAGCCCAAGACCGAGGGTTGAAAACCCAAAACCCATGGTCAAATACCATATGATCACCTCGAAGGTTAAATTATGACTGTGTGATCATAGCCAAAGGCTAAACTACAATCGTAGCCGAAGACTAAACTCATGTTCGAAGATAATCCACATGAAATCTTACATGTTTGGTTGTATCATACAAAATGATGTCAATTGAATTTTTGCAAAAGAAATATTTTTCCTCTACAAATTCAGATGATATGTGTTTGTAGAGAAAAAAAAGGGCATCTATGGGTGCAAAAATTAAGGCTCAAGGAATGAGCCATTACCTAAATTTGGGAGAGTGAAGCTAGAATAAAGGAGCATGATCAAACACTTCCATGGAATATGGAACATGGAGAAATAGGAGGAAAGTGGAACTTGAAGCCCAAGTATTTTATGTCTATAAAGGAACTAGAATCCCACGAGAACAGGGAGAGGAAAAAAAGGAAGTATCAGATAGCTTTACAATGTCTTGCAATTATTTTGAACAACGACTGACTTGAGCGTCGGAGTGTTTTCTTGCAAGTTCCCCCGCTCTCATTGTTGACAAGCGAAGATGGTGTCCAAGGCTTCTCAACGTGTTCAAGATTACTTGTTAGTGGAGAATTGGAGTATCTGAAATTTTCTGCTCCAACTCAACTACTAATGCATAAATAAAATAGACAGATACTTTGCATGACATTTCGAAACGTATAATTATTCAAATTCATTTTCTGGAAAAATCTCAAATATATACGGAAACCCAAAAGCCCACTTACTGGTATGTCGAAGGGTCGTAGCCCCCAAGCCTCGATTGATGGCGCTCGTCCTCCGGATAGGTCTCACCTATATGTGAAATAACTAAATAAACGTTATTTAAAGCAAATACACAAAACTAGGAAATAACTTCTCATACATTGCTCAAATGGGGTATTTGAATATACCACCATGACCTACTCAACCTCAGGAACGGCCAGACGCGCCCCCACGCGCTAGCCAAGGCACGGCCAGACGAGCCCCCGCACGCAGCTAAACCCTAACTGAAACTTAACCGCCGTTTGGAATATTCCATTAAAACCTTACCAGAATTTAATGGCGTTACTTGACACCGTTAGAATATCCGTCAAACTTGACGGAATATTCCCCTTTGTCTTCCTTGGTTTGCCGGAGACCGTCGCCGGCGCCGTTATGATTGCCGATTTCTGGAAAAACTTTAAAACTTCATATCTTCTTCATTTCTCAAACTAAAATTCATGAAATTTGTCTCAAAATGAAGTTTACAACGAGTAGAACAAAACCTTACCAATTTCAAGCCTTGAAATCCACAAAATCTGAGATTGTGGGTTCTCAAAATCTGATCCACGAAATCCACGATCACGATCACATGAACAGTGCTCAAAATCTGAGATACTGGGTTCTCGGGTTTCTGGGGTTTTCACGTCCAACCACCACCACCATTTGACTCCTAAGCTCACAAGGAACACAAAAACAGGCTTCTTGACATCGATCCGTGAAGAAATGGTCTAGTTTGAGGTTTGTCGGTACAGTTGTACGGACTTTCAGAAAAATCCAAGAGAAAGAGAGAAAGAGAAAGGTCAACGGGGGTTTGGGTGTGTGTGTGTGGTCCAGTTTGGGCTACCAACCCAAAACAAACAAAAATCTCTTTTCTAATTGGGTCCAAACACTTAGGAAAAATTTTAATTGGTCCACAACCAAAACCTAAACCATACAACACCACAAACGTTCAAGGGTACTTTAGTCTTTTCACACCACCAATAGAAATAATTCGGGACGGGCTGTGACACCAACTACATTATTATTCATCACATCAAATACCATATGTTAAGAACAATGCTATTAGCACTCCAAAATAGTCATCGACATTCCTCTTTGATTAAAAATACAAGGGAGGAAGGTGTGCAGAATGAGAGTTCCGCCTTTTGAAGCAAGGACAGAAGTACTAAGAGTTATAGAGACTGATGAGCACAAGTAAAGAGTTTTTTTTCATAAAAATACAGCTGGGATAAAACTGCATAGTTAACTGTTCTTGTTGTTATATTTGGATAAGATTGTGAACATGTGACAAACTCGTACCTTGCTGGATGGTTCTATTGGATTATCAGACACCATAGTAAGAGAATATCACACGATCCAAATCTACGGAAGAGAAGTATCCGTGTTATTGCTGAAGAACTAAGAAGTAGATTACAAGCACTTATTCTTGCGCCCTCTTAAGTTTCTTAAGCAGGTTTCCAAGCAGAAAGGGCAAAGGCAGTTCGTCCCTTCCATCCCTGCAACAGCCATCGGCTATCTTCATCGATGACAAAGTCCTTGTGGTAAAGAGAGCTTACTTTCTTAGCTACCGCCTTCACAAGCTCTCGGTCAAAAGGTATTTGCACAAGCCCAGCCCTCAAGTTACGAACGTGTCATTGCTAGTATGTTTCTGGCCTTTCCACTCTTTCCCAGCCTTCACAAGTTATAACATTTAAAGCCTCCCTGCCAAAGATCTTTTTCTCAATTGACATCATTTCCTGATCCTCACGGGGTACAACAGTTTCAAGCATATCAAACAGCGAAGAAAAATGAAATAACGCCTCTCAGAACCTGGTAACGAAGAAGGGGGCATTGTACGCTCCATTAACAACTTCATGGATGAAAATGTCTGGATTGATTCTCCTTATCAAATCAAGAACCATGTTTCTTACACTGTCCACAGACACACTTTCGTCGAGCAAGTTCTTACCCCGATATAAAAAGTTCACAACAAGAACTTCATCCTTGTCGATCTTGAGTTCCTCAAGTGTAATGGTTTCCCATTTCTTTACAATAGCATTGTACTCGAACGGCACATTGAACTTCTCAGCATAAGCTGCCAAACGTCGTCCTGTTTCCTCAACTCGCTCAGCTGGCCGAAATCCCGGTTGAGGAAATTCAATTCCAGTAATCCGAACCTTTGGGGGTCCACCTTCCCTTCACGAGATCCGTTGAATAAGGGTGGGCCATTGGAAACCATAAAGGGTACCAAAATCAATGACATGGAGCCTTGTCGACTTTTCAGCTAAATTCATTATTGTGACGTTCGTGACAAAATTAGACATCTTCTTAAATGGAGATGCAACAAGGTATAAATGGTATGCTTTCAAGATATCAGCAGCCGATGTCCTTTTGCTAACAATACCTTTATAAATCTGGCTACCTGTACCAGCTAAGCGTGCTTCAAGGCCATTGGCAAAGCAATGAGCGATTCTCTGAGTCCCATCTCCAAAAGGTGAAGAATGTTGTCTGACCTTCTTTAGTAGTTCATTAACGGTCCTATGATCATCAGCTGCAACCGCATGTGCATAACTAATTAGGAGGGTTCTCAAATCCACCACCTCATTTTTAACACTTTGTTTCTTACCACGACCTTTTCCTCCATTAAATCATTTGGATTGCCCGTTCTGTGGCACACTTTTGCTCATTCCATCTTGCAAGGCCTCACGAAGAGATTCCAAACGCTCCTGACCCTCCCCTATGCTACAAAGCAATACAACATCAAACATCTCTGACTGCAAAGGAGATTCAGACGAAACAGCCGCTTGCTTGCTACTCCTTTTTTCCTCCACATCTTCGTCCTCCCTATATAGATTCTTCCTTCCCCTTGACCCACCAGAAGAATATTCTCCTTCATCCGTTCTCTCCACTTTGACATAAGATGCCGCTGCCCCAACCTTTGGCGTGTGAACTGACATCCCATTTGCCTCCAGTTCAACAACCAAATTAGTCTCTCCAAGAAGAAATCTACTAGCCTCATCAACCCCCTTATTGAATTGTCAAACAGATTGGCTCTCGGTATTCCAATCTGGGTATAAATACTACTATTAGGAGAATCTACCAGCCCATCCAGGCTACTGACCCTTGTTGAAGACCCGTTAAATGATTGAGAAATGCTATATGACGGAAGACCTTGTAACTGAGATGAATATCCATCTGGACTTTGAATCGACGTAGTATCACCAAAGTAACCACCACTGTTGCAACTACTAGTGATATAATTACTCCAAGTTCCAGAGGAACTTTCAGCCGGGCTCTCACCATATTGACTAGCGTAACGACGAAATAACTCTGGGGAGGGGGGATATTTCTTTCCAAAGACCTCATAGAATGACTTCTCGGCAGCTTGAAGCTCCAACGACTCTTGAAGCATGCAAATCTTGTCCTCCATATCTTCTTCCATAAGCATCTGGTTAATGTACTTCAAGACCACATCTGAAAAGTCACAATCTTCGGCAGAATCATCCCCAGGCTCACACTTGAGTACATAGATACACCGTTCGGGGTAAGACCGGGTTGAGGGCAACTAAAATTTCTGTAACTATTGTCAAAGAAGGTATTACTATCGAATCGGGATCCGGCTACAACGGTTGGATGTGAAAGAATGGGTAAAGGTTGGTTACCCAGTTGAACTCCATTGAAAGAATCAGAGAAACCCCTACGACGAGGATCCATTGTTATCAACTTTGTAATTTCTCTCTCTCTCTCTCTCTCTCTGTGTGTGTGTGTGTGTGTGTGTGTGTGTGTGTGTGTGTGTGTGTGTCTGTCTGTCTGTCTACAGTTTCTCTCTCTAGAATCCCAACTAAGAGAGAGAAACCAAATCCAAATCCAAACAAAAAGCAGCGGAATTTCCTATCAAATTAGTTACCTTCTTCAACCCTTAAATTCCATCAAAATACAAAAATGATAAATCAAACCCTCTGCAAGTAATCTGCACACATGGAAACCTTAAAACCTCATAAATTCACAAACTAAAGCATAAAAAAACAAACAGAAACCTTAAATTTGACAGATAAAAAGCACTGAAAAATGCATATGAGAAGAAAAGACCAAAATTTTCAATTAAAAAAACAGCATTTTAATTCATTAATTCAATATTAAGCCAACTATGAACAGAAATCACTTCAAAAACCCAGGAATGCCGTAAAAAACGCTAAATGGGTTATAATTATATATAGAACAACAACAACATAGCAAAAACTCACCTTTGAGTTCAGCTCTGAAGCTCACTGAAAGATAATATTACAGGAGGAAGGGGGAGAAGAAGGGGGAACAAGCAGAGGTTTGGGTTTTAGAATTTTAATGTTGTCCTATTGTGTGTGTTACGGAGGAACAACAACTGTTGATTTGGAGTCCGTTAAAATTTCAACGAGTATAATCGGCTGTCCATTTCATGAGACGGAGCGGTGTTATCTTATCTTCCTACGTATCATGGTCTTGTGGACTTCAACTACGTTGCCTTGACTATTCCTTTACCAAAAAAAAACTACGTTGCTTATTCCTCATGGCCACGTGTGGATCGGTAAACGCTGAGTTGTCCCGCATGGCTCCTTTTTCTTTCCACTTTTGGAGAACAGTCCTAGGTCATCTGAACCCACCGGGCCACCTTCACGAGAATAATTTGTATGTAACAAAATTAGTGTCGCGTTACGATCTAATAATGTGTAGTTGTATAAAAAAAATAATGACAATGCATTATTGAACTAAGCCCGATCATGGAGGAAACCCATCTATTTAAATTTTTGTCTTTGTAAGGCCTAGAACCGGGTCATCCGTGCGCTCACATAAAACTAAGGGGACCTCTTGTATTAGGGTATGTGAAAGCGATTTGATGAAATTCCCTTAGCCACATATTCAAAATTAGAAAATAGAATTAACTTGGCTCCACAATGGATGAGGAGAAGTCTCTCCTCAAGTTTCTCCTCAAGTCATTGAAATGTATAAAGACAAGTCGTCGAATAGGGTAAAAGTACTACAAATTGTCTATCTATTTGATGTAGTTGATTGACTAAACAATCTTATTTGGATTAATTTTTTTTTAAAGAATGATCTTTATAGAATAATTTATATATAGAAGATTTCGATCATAAGCACGAAGTTTTAAAAACAGGTAACAAAGCATCTTGAGTAAGGAACTCTTCCACACTTTTAAGGAGCCAGATGTTCTCTTAATAAACAGAGTGGGCTAACTATACTAAGTGACAACAAAATTTTACTCTTAGAATCTTGACTATAAGGGTGTTATTATCATTATAACTTTTTATCCCTTGCACATGGCGCTTTACCGGAAAGGAATTATGTCATTATAGTGCGAGTTTGATTCTCACAAATTTCTCTTTCTATTAACAACTGATAATTAACCCACTAATGTTTTTATTTGTCAAAAAAAAAAAAAAAAACCAACAACAAACTTTTTGATCTCTTTGATATAGAAAAGAAAAATCAATGTGAAACATTGAATTTCGGATACATTTTAAATGTTGGACAGAATACCAAGTGAAAGTAGCATGACAGATGACGATGGTCCGTGGGCATGGGAGCATCTTTCAAAAAACTGAAAGTGCCATCAAAGTAAGGATGAGTTTTTCGATCGCATGTGTGTTTGTGTGGCTCTCTACTGTCTTTGATTTTTGTTAGCCACCAGCCAACCTGCACTTCTTTATTTGTTTACGTTCATCATTCATCGATTTGTTCAATCACGCAGTTACCCAAAAAACAAAAAGGGAAATGCAAGAGGATAAAGCTGAACGGGTGATGTTAAGGAGAGAAACCACGTTTAAACTTTCTCTCTGATAAATGTAGAGTTCATAATACAAGTAGGTCTTACTTTTATCAGAAAGAGAGTTTCAGTACGTCATATTGTAAAGTGATGTTACTAATTCACTTATGTTATAACACATGTATCTATTTGTTAATAGAAGTTGTCATTTTTTTGTCGAAAGTTAGAATTATATTAAAGGAAAACTAATGAAAAGCGCTTGAAAACTTTGAGTTTTAACGAGAAGGACAAAATAAAAATATTATCCCGCCATGCTTCAAAATGTTCGCAGCTAGGCCTGACAATTCCTGACACGACCCGATAACCCGACACGACACGACACGAAATTAACAGGTGTTCGGGTCGACACGATAACGAATCAGGTCTTATCGGGTAACCCGATAAGCACCTATTAAGATAACGGATTGGTTCGGGTATACACGTGGGTAACACGATACACGATAAGCAAAATATTAATTTTATAATTTTATAACCCTAAAAAAAACTATAATAATTATATACATATATATATATATTAAATTAAATATTAAAAATTGGTGACCATTGGATCGGCTTAAATATACATATCATTCAATTTCTTAAGTATTATACGTACAAAATAAATAAATTTAAATCTACTTAATGAATATATATATACACACACCATTGAACTTGATGGGATACGAATTCTACGAAACTAATTTCAACGATCCAACCGTCAACCTTGTTTGTATATGCTTTGAGATCGCATCAGCAAAAAATTGCGAAAAACAAACATTCAGAGATCAAGAAACAGAACAAAACTTTTCGACGGTTATCAACGAAAAATCACGATTTAATGGTTAGTTTAACTCCGATTTTGATGATTTTTTACAGCTACACTCCTTGATCCTATATGAATACAATGAATGAACTCGATCTTCAATTTAAAATATTCACACTAGTGGATACCACAAAATCCTATATTATACTTAATGAAAGTATGAATAAACTCTTAAGTGTTAGTTAATCTATTGTTTTGATGGGATACGCATTCTACGAAACTAGTTTCAACAATCCAACCGTCAAACATGATTGCATATACTTCGAGATCGCATACGCCAAAAATTGCAAAAAACAAACATTCAGAGATCAAGTAATGGGATAAAACTTTTCGACGGTTATCAACCAAAAATCACGATTTAACGGTTATTTTAACTCTGATTTTGATGATTTTTTACAGCTACACTATTTGACCCTATATGAATACAATGAATAAACTTGATCTTTAATTTAAAATATTGGCACTAGTGGATGTGGATACCACAAAATCTTATGTTATATTTAATGAAAGTATAAATAAACTCTAAGTGTGTTAGTGAATCTATCGTTTTGATGGGATACGCATTCTACGAAACTAATTTCAACGATCCAACCGTCAAACTTGTTTGTGTATGCTTCAAGATCGCATACACTAAAAATCGCAAAAAAAATAAACATTTAGAGATCAAGTAACAAGACAAAAATTTTCGACGGTTATCAACGAAAAATCATGATTTAACGGTTATTTTAACTTCGATTTTGATGATTTTTTACAGCTACACTCCTTGACCCTATACGAATACAATGAATGAACTCGATCTTCAATTTAAAATATTTACACTAGTGGATACCACAAAATCTTATGTTATACTTAATGAAAGTATGAATAAACTGTTAAGTGTTAGTGAATCTATTGTTTTGATGGGATACATATTCTACAAAACTAGTTTCAACGATCCAATCGTCAAACATGTTTGTATATACTTCGAGATCGCATACGTCAAAAATTGCAGAAAACAAACATTCAGAGATCAAGTAATGGGACAAAACTTTTCGACGTTTATCAACGAAAAATCACGATTTAACGGTTATCTTAACTCCGATTTTGATGATTTTTTACAGCTACACTCCTTGACCCTATATGAATACAATGAATGAACTCGATCTTCAATTTAAAATATTCACACTAGTGGATACCACAAAATCTTATGTTATTCTTAATGAAAGTATGAATAAACTCTTAAGTATTAGTGAATCTATTGTTTTGATGGGGTACACATTCTACGAAACTAATTTCAACGATCCAACCGTCAAACATGATTGTATATACGTCGAGATCGCATACGCCAAAAATTACTAAAAACAAACATTCAGAGATCAAGTAACGGGATAAAACTTTTCGACAGTTATCAAGTAAAAATTACAATTTAACTGTTATTTTAACTCCGATTTTGATGAATTTTTACAGCTACACTACTTGACCCTATATGAATACAATGAATGAATTCGATCTTCAACTTAAAATATTTACACTAGTGGATACCACAAAATCTTATGTTATACTTAATGAAAATATAAATAAACTTCAAGTGTTAGTGAATCTATCATTTTGATGGGATACACATTCTACAAAACTAATTTCAACGATCCAACCGTCAAAATTGTTTGTATATGCTTCAAGATCGCATACGCCAAAAATCGCAAAAAAACAAACATTCAGAGATCAAGTAACGGGACAAAAAATTTATCAATTAAAAATCACGATTTAACAGTTATTTTAACTCCGATTTTGATTATTTTTTACAGCTACACTCCTTGACCGTATATGAATACAATGAATGAATTTGATC